ACGGTCGTTTTTTTTTTTTTTTCGGGTTTTAGGACGGGTAGGACGACTTCGGGTTTAGGCCGGCCTCCAAGGAAAGGCAGCAGCGAGTTGCTCTCCAGTGAGCCCAACTTGAAGACGGCCATCAGCATGCGCCGACCCTTCTTGGACGCCACACACGCCACTGGGAGAGCGGAGCTAGCGGGGACCGGAGCGGACGGCGGAGCGGAGCAAGTGGTCGCAGGTTGTGAGTTCGGCACCAGATTAGGTGTTTTTTTTCTTTTTTTCTCGTCTTCCGTGTGAAGCGGATGAGGGGAGTTGGTTTTTTAATCAGGATTGCTTTGTTTTTCCTCGTCTTCCGTCTTCCTGATCAGGGGAGATGTGTTTATTTGTTTATTTGTTCCGGTTCTTGAAGTCTAATGGCGATGCGCCAGTGGGGACTTTGCTCACAGCTTACCAGAACGCACATGTTACACCACTACACCGCTATGCACTTCACCACATCAATTGGAATGCGTCACACCGCTACACTTCATCAGAGACACCACGAAGAAACGATGTTTGACACTTCAACACACCACATATCACCGCGCTTTACTTCACACATCACATTTGTTGAACCGCATGGACCATCACCATCACCATCAAATCAGCACCCGACTCCGAGTCAATCAATAACCTTTGACCTTCGACCTTCGGGTGGGGAGATGTGTTTCCTCACTGAACATGACCCTAAGCCTCCAGTCGTACCTTCGTTTCGGTTCGGTGGGACTGGGGGCCCGGGTGCCAGGAGGGTGCAATACCTTCTGAGGAAGTACGACTGGAGGTGTAGGGTGAACTTACTTTTTCGGATGTGGCTCCCTAGTCAGGCTGCCACGCGCTGCCGCGCCTCACGACATCAGTAGTACTGTGCAACTTCAAGACAGATCATCGCAGTACCCTTTATCATCAATTATCCCAAGATACCCAGACACTCCCATATATGTATGGAATATATATTATAGTTACTTACATTGGGGTCATACATGGGGTTTCCATGTATGTAGCTATTCGAGTCCCATGGATAGTTTGAGTCTGGGAGGTGTCAGTACCTCGCTTCAACGTGTTCTGCAAGGGCTTGGAACACATGCCTGGACTATTGGTAGCGACTGGCGGTGGCATGCGAGTAACAATTCAGGAAACATGCCAACTAAAATCAAACCATACATCCAAGAACACTGTAAATATTGTGACATATTGTGCTATGTTCCAATTACTTCCCTAAGACCTAGGCGAAGTGCAATGTTCAGCATGTGTTTTGCTTTCTTTCAATGGCAAGTCGCATCATTTGCTCGGCTCTTGAACTGTATCTCCCAAAATTGTTTGGCTTTGTACGTGTCACTGGGTTTTCATGGCAATGGCTACATTTGACCTCCTTGCAAAAGGGAAGGATGGATGGATTGAGATGCATCCTCAATCAAACACCACACTGAGCTTGTTCACGTTCATGTGGATTTTCCCCGTGGAACACCTTGGTTTCAAATGTTTTGCTGAGGTGATTCAAGCAGAAGTCTTGAGCCGACAACGTCATAGCCAAGGAGAAGTGCCCCCTGAGTTGCGGGATGCCATGATCATCAGTATCCAGGGCATTGCTGCGGGGATGCAGAACACTGGCTGAGGATCATCCGCGGATTCTGCACGCGGATTCCGCACGCGGATTCCTCGTTTTCGTTGTCCATGTGCCGAGAAGTAGGGTGCAATGCCTGGGGGGTTCGCCTGAGAATTTTCGGGGAGGATTTACCGAAATGCGCTGCAAAACTGGAAGTGAACATCACACACCATACAAAAGTGTACAAGAAAAGGGATTCAGGAGGGGAAGGGGGTTATGACAGCTATGAGAATGCTAAATGGCTAAATAGTGCTAAATATCGTAGCAGCATTGAACTGCCAAATCAGTCATGCGCACCACATCAATGGATTGCAGGCTCAGGATATCTACGAGTGTCAATTGAATTTAGACCAACGTAGATTGGGTGTTGCTTGGACCAAAGGCATTGAAGCGTGGCAGATGGATTTCTTTCGGCGTTTTGACACTGGGAACAGCCCAGTAGTTTGCAGTCTCTTGTACCCTTGTACAAACATATTTTAAGACATGCAATCGACATGCAATACATATTGCACAGGCGCCAGCAGAGAAGGCGTTGCCAATTTTGGAAGATCCTGGAGGGGTCTGGCCAGTCCTGCAAGCCTCCCGGAGCAGGATTGCTTCGAGTGAAACGAGCCTGGCAAGTTCGGTCGATTTCTGGGTCGTTCCCATGACGATGCATGCAGTACGCCTAGTAGTTCACCAACTTTTCATGAATCGAGGTGTAGACCCTATTTCGGACAAGTCTTTGCTGCTGGAAGTCACCTCTAGTGGCCAAGCAAGTGTGGAAATCAGGTTCTTCACTTCAATCCGTGGGGCGACATTCTCAGAAGGTGGTTGGGGTGGGTTTAGGCGGCTTAGGGGGTCTACACTCCAACTCACTAACATGGAAGTGAAAAAACAACTGTTTGTAAAGGAAAGTAGTCTTCCAAGGGGCCATGTTCCACTTCCATGTTCGTGAGTCAGAGTGCAACTGCCTTCTCAGGATGTGGGACAGGAGCCCTAGGGAATGGACACAAAAAAACATGCAAAAAGAAAACTCCATGATTCAGCACGATCCAAACGGCGAGAGATATCATTGGTCAGATTTATGGTACATCATTTGATTTCTAAGTATGATTTGATCATGTGTTTCCCAAACTGAACTCAACTTGTGGCTTACCAGTGTTGAACAATCTGTACGAGATTGTGTGAAGAAGATGAAATCCTGCCTGGTATGAGATACTTCAAAGGACTGGGATTGTCTGTGTGGTGCCTTTGGAGATGTTTGCACGTTCCTCACTGACGGGGCCAATGATGATATGTTTTTATTTCGAAGGAAGTTGGCAGCTTCAGAGAGTTCAAGCCTTCTTGAAAAAACAAAACAAAACAACAGCACAGAGATAGCCTGGATTCGGTCTTTAATGGTCTAAATCCGGATTCTGGACTTCACTGCAGCACTGGGTCTAAGCTACCATTGTTAAGTCCTTGCCTATAAGCTGTGCGCGATCTTGCGGTGGGTTCAAGTGCTACGCCACAAACTCAAGGGGTCGGTCGGGTCATGTCAGACATGCCATGATCCTTTGCAGGGGCTGGTGATGATCCTTTGGAGGGGCTGGTCGAGCAACGATTCATTCGAATGACAGACATGGGACGTCAATCGAAACGAGCAACGTACGGACCCACCATGAAGAGCACCCGTCCGATGTTTCTTTTCACGGACAAAAGCACATTTAAAAATTATGCTGAGTTCCTGACTTCAGTAGTTGCAAGCTGACCCTTTTCAGAGATTGGCCCGTATACATAAGTCCATTTATCACAAGCTGCTTCAAGGCTGTAAGATGCCAACCTGTACCGTTGCCAGCCACATATTATACGTAAAAAACAAACTTGTTTTGGCCATTCATAGCGGAGCTCACAAACATTGTTGTCCAAAAGCAGAGCGCTTGCCTTCTTTTGTTTTTTTATTTTATGTGTTCATTATCCTTTTAGTGGCATGAAATCAGCGCCTCAGGGCAATCCGAAGCCCGGGCAGCAAAGTAGAGGGTGACGTGGAATGGTTGGTTTCAAATGGTTTCTGAAGCTGTCGCTGCTCTTTACTCATTGAAATCGGGAGACCTCTCAAAGTGTAGACAAACGGAAACAGACAAAGACCCATGGCCTGGGGGTCTCAATAAATAAAAAACACCTATTTGCACCTGAAGGCACCTCGCATTTTTGGGGTCGATGTCAGCACATTGGGAGCCGGGAGTACATCTGAGAAGAGCCCTGGGCCCCCAAAACATGGCCAGCACCATCCAGCACCTTCAAATGCATCAGCCGGCTGGAACCCCGCTACACTCTAATTATATGGATCTCTATAGCCAGGACACCCTGACAGGAAGGTCCAGGAGTTTTTGTTCTGGTCCTTTCGTGGGTTTTTGGTCCAGCCTTGCGTCTGGCGGTGCAGTTTCTAGGGGACATCCAAAGATGATTCATGAGGTCTTTCAATTTGAGGACATCCCCGGGCCGAAGAGTTCTTTGGACGAGCGGAAGAGTTGAATTCTGATCAAAAACATCAAAAACGATCATTGGCCCAGATCGACAGCTTTAAGGAGTTGGAGCTCCACCTTGTGCACGCCGGCGTTCCGACATGGGGAAAATTCCACTGAAACCGGTATTTCCCGGTCGTGCGTGCTGCCTGCTTGGTGCTCGATGGGTGATGAAGCCTGTGGGGGGTTCAACTGGCAGAAGCTGCCAGTTTTTTAAGATCTGAGATTTGGCACCTGTAGGGTGGAGCCCATTGCTACTAGGGTAACCGGTCATCGCTCTTAGGTTCAAAACCGGCATTGCCCAATCACTTCAGACTTCGACTCGTCGGTTACTTCGACTTCTGGGGATCTTGGGGGTTCCGCGGATCACTGGGGAACTCAGACCCAGACACGACCGAAGACGCGAACTGCCATGTCGGACTGCCGAGCACGGCCAGGGATGGTGGTTGACTGGGGGTCAATTGATTGGAGGTCCTATGGCAGTCCCAGACGGGTCGTGTCTGGGACGATAGTTCCATTAAGAAGGCAGTTTTAGAGTTCCGAGACGTCGCGGAACACAGGAAACTGGGGCCCTGATTGAGTATCACTTTCTACCTTTTTGGGGGTCGCCCTGATTGAGGTTTGCCTTCGCAGGTGCTTGGGACCATCCATGCGGCAGAAAATTCGGCTCATCATCTCGAATTGAAACGTAAAGCTAATAGCGGCAGTATATACCTAGACCCCATTTGACCTTTGTTTTGATAGGAAAAGACTACTGTATGTGCTGGCTCCAAAACAGGGTCAATCAGGTTCTAGGTAGATCCATGTTTCCATGATTTTTTGCCCGGAGCCACAAGGTACCCCCAAACCCACCAAACCGCGCAAACCGCCGCTGCGCTGCGCAACTCCAGGTGCTCCGTGCGGGCGCCTTGTCGCTGACGCCGCGCGCCGAAAGCTTTGAGCTCTTTGGCTTCGACCTGATGTTGGACGAGGCGCGATCCGTCAGCGGCGCGTCCGTCGGTGCATCGGAGCGATGTCGGCCGATGTCGGTGATGAAGGTGAGTTTGGTTGGTTTCTGAGTGTGGCACTAGAGACTAAAACAACTACTCGTAGTAACTAGTCTTTTTGGATCTTTTTAGGTGCAATTATGACCTCAACTAGATAATTAATCAGGACTTGTGTGTTTTTGATATGCTGTATATAGCTAAGATATTGTTAATCGTCGTTGGGAGCAGAAATTCTTTGTTGTTTTGTCGAGCAGCTTTGTTCATCGGGGGGGGGCAATGACAACCCTTGGTGGCACCACATCGATGGAAGACACGACACGACACACACCCTGGCTTGCATAGAGTTCATGATCTTATATACTATTTTCTCTATGATGTGTGTGGGCCTAAATGTTCTTGTATTTGTTCCCGAATCCAAGGCACAGGGTGCTTGGGCAGCTCGTTGGGCACCTCGTTGGGTCATGAACCCACGCCCCTTGAGCCGTCCCGAGACGAGGGTCAGATGGGTCAGGGGGATGGATCCTTGCACCATGGGATGGTCCGAGTCTTTGGGTTATGCTGATGTCAATGTTCATCCATTTTTTCCCATACGTTGAACAAACACACACAACCAACCAATCAACCAACCAGCCAATCAAACAAACAACCAACCAACCAACCAAACAAACAACAAAAGCAATGGTTTTCGTCCTACTCGAAACGACTCGAAACCTGGCCGTGTTGATCCCTTCAGGCCATGAAGATGTGGCTTTTGGAGGTGAACTTAAGCCCCGGCTGTGACAGCCGCACGTGCCTCGGCCAGTGCCCAGTCCACACTGGGCCCCTGGGCACCACCCGGCATGGAAGACTGAAAGGACATGAAAGGAAGGTCTTCCGCTCTACGAACGGGATGAACGGTCTTTTTTGCAGTGAACTCCAGTTTCATGTCGTTCGGTTCCAGGAGTGGTCGTTTCATCCCTTTCTGACATCGCCCTCCAGCTCTGGTCCGGTCTGCACCTTCCCCGGGAGTGGTGCCACTAGACCTGTCTCGGGGTCCGGTCTGAAGATCAAGATTGGGACCTGGATGCCCCAGATGTGATGCAGATGAGCTCGGATTTGCCAAAGCTGCCTGGCACTGCCTGGGTATCAAAGAGGTTCAATGTTCCTTCTGAGGATGTTTGGGCCCTCGATCGCAAAATCCGATTCCAATGAGGATTTGGAGGACCGATAGAGTTGTAAATGTGTAAGTCGAAGTCCAAGCAGCCAGATGGGAGTGTGCATTCAATATGATTCAAAAGACGATCCCCCAGTGCAAGACCCCCAAGTTTAGACAGGAACGCGGAACCAAAGGGGGGCCGTCTCCCTCCCTGTGACAATCTGCCTCCCTATTCGGAAACAAAAAAGAAAAGCGATGCACCCAAAACCGCACCAGTGCCCTCTTTGCCCTGTCGTACGCCGTTCCTTACGTTCCCCCTCGTTCCCGGTTCGCCCCGTTCCAGCCTTCGCGGTCAGCCGCTCTGCCTTCAGGGCTTTCATGGATCGAATGCTCAGTCGGATGTGCCTCGGTCGGTTTGTCCTTCGGTCGTTCCGGTCGCATGGGTGGTCGTTTCGGGGAACCAAAGGAACGAACAGAACTGGCGAGGAGATTCTTCGCCTCAGGCCGCAAGGAGACGGTGAGCCTGGGCCAGTCTCCAAAGTACTTTTCTTCTGTTGCAACACCCAACATGTTGCAACATGTTATGGGTTCTGGCACCAACATGAACAGATGGAGAGGTCAACCTACCAGGATGAGTTCCGGGTTTACGCCAACTCAGTGACTAGAGCCGGGTATGTGTTCTGTGATGTGTGTTTATGAGGTTGTGCCAATGAATTTGGTGCAGGGAAGTCAGATTGACTGGATCCTATGATCTTGCCACATGCTTTGGAGCTGGTGTGCTATGCATGATGCTATGCACTATGCCATGGCCCAACCATGTTTTCGATCAGAGAGGTGTGGCTGTGCGTGTGGATCACTAAGCCATTGGTGAAGCGTTCAAGCCTTTGGAGTGGCCGCGAGTCCTTCACGCGCGGACTTCGCTGCACGGCGCTGTTTCGTTTAATGTACCAGGACCCTCCTGTCGGGTGTCTATATATATAGCCCCTTAGCCGTTAAAGGGTGTCCATGAACCACCCCTTGAAGGCCCTGGTACATTATACCTGGAACCTGAAGGACCTCTATTTTGGACCACCAACCACCAACCACCCAAAATATGGTCAGTCTGTTCCTATCAAAACAGAGGTCAAATGGGTTCCAGGTTGATATGGATGTATATGGGGAGATCCCCAACCAAGGGGGCCTTGGTCTATGTTCCTTCTTCCAGGGGGTCGTTGCCTGGGAGGTCTCCTTATTCTAGTACACACACCGCACCTACATACAGGACGGGTGTCCTTTCTAGACTCCCCTAGGATGGACGTCCGGTCAGTTTGCCCACTTCCATGCTGGACGGCTCCAGGCACCATGAGGCACCCAGGTTTCAGTCTTCGACATGTGCCAAGCATATAACAGACACAGCTTACATTCATCCTTCTTCCAGTCATACTCATGTCATCAGATCAACCTAAGTGTGTATTGTTTTCCCATGTCCATTCTTCTCCACATCCTCACACTGAAGAGTTCCACCGAGGTCACATCGATTGATCGAGGCGGGGTTCTTTGGGGCGGGTCCGGGGCATTTCAAAGATCCCCGAATGGGGTGGGATAAATGCACTTGGGGAAGAATCAACCTGATCTGGAGAAAATGGCAGAATGAAGTCCCAAGAACAGAAGACAGGTTCCGAGAAGCATGAATCAACTTGAGTCTTGTTAAATGGAGTTGGATGCTTTGTCATTCTGAAACACGAGCTGACAAGATCCATCATATACTCCTGTGAATTTCAGCTGTTGTAGCCAGGGTGTATTGCGTACAGTTGATGCACCGTCGCTGCTGTTTCGGCTGAACAGGGCCCTTGAGCTGATTCGCTGCTGCGAAAAGGAACTGTGCGAGATTCAAACTGGTAGCGGAGCAGGTTCTGAAGGGGCACCCTCAGGATCTGACTCACCCGGGGAGACTCGCTGGATCCGAACCCGTTGAACCCAATTGCGTGACCCTGCGCGCAATCCGTCGAACCGTTGTAATTCCAGTGCTTTGCGAAACTTGTTGAGTTGCGATGTCGCTGGCTGGCCTGCGGTACACATCCCATGGAGGAAGTATCTCAGGACCACAGGAGACGAAGAGCGGATCATACATCTACAGTGGCAATCCAAATGGTTTCTTCGAATGGGAATTTCGCACCAAGGTCCGCGTTGCTTTGCACAAGCAGAAACATGCGAAGAAGAAGTCAGAGAAGACCTATTCGAGTCCTGGAAGCCAATCAGCCACACCAGAACGTTCTCAGAGGAGGCCGACTCATGCGACCGAAGCTGGGGATGTATCAGAGGATGACGAGGCACGATTTGAAGCTTTTGGAACCCCGAAGTCCGAGAGCGTGGCAGGAGAAGAAGAACCAGCTCTGAGCACTGCCGGACTGGATGATGATGGAGCAGAGTATGCAACACTTGTTCACAAGGTGTTGGAAGGTCTGCGAGGTGATGCATACCTCACAGCTCAAGACATGGGATTGGAGAAGTTGTTGACTCCAACTGGCATTGATGAGTTGATATCGCGTATCCGTGCACAAGTTTTTCCACTTCGACAACAAGAAGCACGTGAGTTGTTCAGAGTGGGTCAACTTCCACATGGTCCCTTGTCTCGCCAAACGACAGAAAGCATGACTAGCTACATTTCACGAAGACGTCGTTGGTGGAGGAAGCTTTTGGAGATGGATGATGGGGTAAGTCTTTCAGACCCCATGCGTGGTGAGCTACTTCTGGAAGGTTCTGGCTTGAGCAAGACAGAACAGCTCATGATCAAGACAGCTGCAGGCGACAACCAATCCTTTGACGTCTACGCCAAGTTCTTGCTTGAATTCCATGGACAGATTCACTTGCGCAGCTGGTCCGCTTTTGGTAACACGAGCCCTCGGAGGCAGAAAGGCGGAGGCAAGTTTTCAGGCAAGTCTTCCTACAAAGGAGGAAAAGGGCGCAGTTGGCAAAGATCTGCGTACATTGTTGAAGATGACTCTTGGGACTATGAAGAGTCCTATGAAGCAGAAGCAGAGGACGACTATGAGCATGAAGCTTATGTCGCAGCAGAAGATGAAGAACCAGATGATGAAGAACATGAAGACTATATCGAAGACCCTGAAGTTGCCACAGCGTTGATGGCAATGGGAGAATGTGATGATGAAGAAAACGATGTTTCAGAGGAACTGGGCAGCGCAGCCCAGCATCAAATGATGGCCTTTGTCGTGACTGACCAGTTGAAGGGCAAAAGCAAAGGCAAAGGTAAAGGTTCAGGAAAGAAAGGTGGAAAGAGCAAGGGGAAAGGCAAGTATGTGTTCAGGACACATTTAAGTGTGCAGGACAGGATTGCACGTCTAGCAAAGTTGAAGTCAGTGTCCAAATGCTTGCGTTGTGGGGGAAAAGGACATTGGGCAGGAGACCCAGCATGCAAGTTCCCCAAGCAGAACGACAAGTCCCCTGGAGGAACGTCGTCGACGAGTAAAGCCACAGCCTATTTTGCATTGAGTGACGATGAGTCTTCTGTTGAAGGTGAATACATGTGTGTTGATGTCAGTGGTCAACCTGTCGAAAATGGTACGTGCTACATGGCATACAAGATGTCCCCAAAGAAGAAGCTTGAGTTCGAACCGTCAGACCGTGCATCCATGTCGTCAGGAGTGACTAGCAGTCCACCGTCTAGCTTTTCGATGGTCGAGCCAAATGTCCGTCGGTCACCGCAGAAGTCCCCGCCGGTCACGCGTAGGAAGAAGGACATGGAACAAGACTTGTTGCCTGAAGGTTCGCAGAATGTCTTTGTGTTTGGTCAGCACCAAGGTTTGACATACCATGAAGTGTTGTTCAAATATCCTGGATACTATCAATGGGGATCAGGCATTTCGCACCCTTCGCGTTGCTTGGCAGATTTTCTGACCTGGGTAACCACGTACTATGAAGTCAGTCAGGACGGAGACGTAAGCCTGAGAGAGCATCCATTGACAGATGTGCCAGTAGAGGCAATTCGACGTACTGGAGACAAGAGTGCCAAGGGAAAACCACCAAACCCCCCGCTAGAGGAATCATGTCGTCGTTGCACCAGATTCACATTTCAAGGTTCAAATGCCTACGTTGAGAACAAGACATGCCTTGACTGCGGAAAGAATGAAAGAAAGAAGAAGGAAAGCAAACCTTCGGCCGACCCCGCAAAGTGCAAGCATGAGGTCACAGATCGTCGAGGCAGTTCGAAAACCACGTCTCGTTGGTACTGCAAGTTGTGTGGAACCACTGTCGACGAGATGCCCCGAGAAGAGGCGCGTAAGAGAGAGGCAATGGCAAAGAGTATGGTAGGCATGCGCACCAATGCATTCGACACGACAGCATCCATGATTGAGAATGAAATCAACGATGCATGCATGTCAGCTGAAGGAACTCTAGAGGTCATGGAGATGTTTCGACAAGAGATTGAGTGTGAATTAGAATTTGGCGAACCCGTGAGGGTTGGCGTCCTGTTCGAGATCCTTGCCAATGCCGTGGAGGTCATCAGAGAGGCCGCACCGGAAACTTGCTACATGGGACTGTTGTCGGATCTCAATGAAGCCACAATTGAAAACACACTTCGTCTTGTTGACATCATGGAAGACCCTGGAGTCTGGGCTGTGTTGGATGAAGGATGTAATGCAACTGTGTGTGGACAAGCATGGATCCAAAACGCCAAAGACAAGTATGCACGCCTTGGGTATGATGTAGCTGATTTGGAGTGTGACTCAAAAGCTTTCCGAGGACTCGCCGGAGACACCAAGACTTTGGGCAAGTGTCGAATTCCATTTGCTTTGACCTTTAAATTTTGGACCCCGAGACGAAACTTCCGGGAGTCATGGAAACGCATGTTGTTGATGGGAAGATTCCATTGCTTTTGTCACAGCATGCTCAAGCTGCATTGCATTTCACGAAATCTATGGGTGATGCCAAGTGCTATGTAGGAAATGCAGAACTTGAACTGTGTAGAGCTAGGAACTCAGGACTTCTATGTGTGAACCTCTCGGAAGGTCTCAAGAGCCTAAAGTCCAAGAGACTCCCAAAGCAACTTCGAGAACTAAAGAACACGGAATATGACATGAGTTTCAACATTCGTCCATCAGATCTGTTGACTGCATTCATGGCTGACGAAGAGCGCCCGACTAGAGGCACTTTCACGCTGGATGACCCTGCTTGTGTGCATGTCCTGACGTGTGGAAAGGAGTTCAATGGCCAGATTGCAAGCTTTGATCGCAGCAAGAGCTTGATTACATTGGGACCCATCTTGGCACAATTTGACCCCGGGAGGCGATTGTTGATCTTTGACTGCATGGGATTTGGAGATCCTCAACACGACCCGCAGTTGCGATCTCACGTCGGTACACATCCGGAAATCATTCGAGGGATGACTGCCAGCGAGAAGACAATGGAAGCATTGCTATATGGACTTCATCACCTGAAGGCTTGCCATGAAAAGGGACAACAGCTGGCTGTCATAGCCTATTGCAGGCGGAACAGACACAGATCGGTATCCTTTGGATGGTTGTTGGCAACGGCATTCAGCAAGCTATGCCCGGGAGCTCACTTGACCTTGACGCATTCCAACCAGGATCATTCCTGGAGCCAGATGAGCGGCACATGCAAGGGCAAATGTGCGATGTGCACGCATGAGTCGCATGATGCTTTGGAAGCAGCCTTGAGGTCAAGGGACTATGTCTTGAGGCAGTTCGGGTTGAAGGCGACTCCAACATACAGTCATGTTGGCTTGGTGGTATACGATTCAGAAGTGGAATCCCGAGAGAACGATCGAAGATCCCAGGCACCAGTCGGGTCCAGAGTACTACCGCCGCCGCCTTGTCCGAAACGACCACCAGTCCTCCGACCAGCGGTGGTAAAGGCGGCGAGTGTGGCGAAGGCGCCAGTTCCCGTGCCAAAAGGGACACACACCATGTCCCATAGAGGACCAGGATCCGTGAGGGCAGCATCACCAGACCCACAACTCGCTGCAGCAACACCCAAGGCACCAGCACCTGAAGCACCAGCAGCCGAGGCATCAGCACCCGAAGAAGAGAGTCGGTACAATGAAGATGCTGAACTTCGTCGTCGTGACAAGGCCGAGACCTCAAGACAGGCAGAACCAAGGGGTGAATCAGTTGCTACAAGTCAGCCTGATGCCGCGACACAGGCCTTGCTACAGACTGTTGAGTTGTTGACACAGCAGGTGAAGCAAATGCAGGAGCGAGAGTACGAGAGGAGACGATCACTTTCAAGGGACAGACGTCGACGAGAGCGATCAGACAGCCGGGACTATCATCGTGGAAGAAGACGTGGCAATAGCAGAGAATACCGGCGTGGAAGGAGCAGAAGCTTGTCGAGGAGAAGGTCACCTTCATTTGGTCGCATTCCGACACCTCCAAAGCTGATCCCGAGAGAGCCGGAAGGACCGCCACCCAGATGGCATTACTATGGATCAGGTCGTGGAACCAGTCGAGACTCAGAACAGTCAGCTTGGCAAGAACGTCGATTTGTGTCTTCTTCAGAGCGCCCAGGA